AGTCCATTCAGATATTTGAACTACCAGTTTCGCATATTGGCTTTTAGCACAAGACTCATCTGATGAAAACTGTCAATTAATTATGTTTTAAAATGAAAAACACCATCAACTCTAATTCAAGCATTTCATTTTTCAAATAGGGGAGTAAGGTTCAAAGAAATGAGAAGATAGCCCTACTGGGGATTGGCTGCTAATTAGTGGTTTAAGTACTTGCACCTTTTAAGCACGACTTGCCCTTTCTGCCTTCTAGGTCCTTCTTCATCCTGAACCTTCCCTAGGTGTCCACATTCACCAGTCATCTCATTAGGAGGCAAACAACAGTCTATCTCTAGGTTTCAAGTGTTTTAGAAGTTTTTACATTAAAAATGTTGGCGTGCGACCCAATTCTGTTATTTCTTTGTAAGCCCTATTACTTGTTATGGTAATAGTAATAAAGAAAATGTCCTTGGAACTAACTCGAAATATTTTGTTAGGTGGGTGGTAAGGGAGAGGGTGGGGGCAGGGGGCAGAAATGACCCAAGCATTGTATGCACATATGAATAATAAAAAAATAAAAATAAAAAAAGAAATATTTTGTTAGACCATTCTAATGTATAATTTAAATGAAAGGATATAAGACAGCTTACATATTTTATGATGATTACAGTTTAGAAGTAGAAATGAGTGGATGAGTCAATGGTAGCAGGGGTGGGAGAGTCTACAAGGGTAAAGATGTAAATTTCACTTGGCACTTCCCAGGCAGGTAGCCTCCTGTTTCTGGCCTCCAGCTGCTTTAAACATCAACAAAGGGAATGTTGACAATGAGAGACTACAAAGAAATGGAAAAGAGGTGCATTAGTACATGCTGTTAAGAATTCTGTCTTTCCTGAGGTTGTAAAAATCAGTGTTGTTTTCTGGATGATGTTTTCTTTTTTTGGTGGTACTGGGATTTGAACTCAGGTCCTCACACTTGCTAGGCAAGTGCTCTACTGCTTGAGCTACTCCACCAGTCATGGATGATGTTTTGATTCTGGCATGCATGGCGATACTGGAGTCAGACAGTAATTTGTATATAGGAAGAAAAAGTGCAAAGGTAAGGCATAGAGAGAGATGATTTTTGGGCTGGAGGTGTGGCTCAAGCAGTAGAGCACCTGCCTAGCAAGCACAAAGCCCTCAGTTCAAACCACAGTACTGGGGGGAAAAGATGTTTTGGATTAGTCTCCTGGAGAAAATACTCATGCTGATCAGTTTATTTACATGAGAACCTGAAGGTGATTCCAAGTTTCCCTCTGGCGAATATTAAAGTGTTAAAGGAGTGGGGGGGGGTGCATTTCAACCATGGTGGTGGGGGGCAGCAGACATGGTGAGATTCCAGAGATAAATATTTAGGGGTCACTGCCTCAGCACCAGGGACTCCACTGTGGAGGTCATCTCAGCTGTCAGTGTGGCACTCATGCCTGACAATATGTTTAGCTTTTTGAATTCAGCATTTTCTTGTGACCTTGTGTGAATTGGGTTGCTTATCTGAAGTGTTGCAAATGTTGACTTTTCTTCCCTTTTTATACCTTTGTAGAATATTGTTGCCTCATACTCCAGTGTCTTCATGTATTCAATAACTTTCAGCTAGACTAAGATTGAAATAAAAGAGAAGACTGAAAATCAGAGATGAAACGGGAGCCACTACAACTGCTATCACAGAAATACCCCAAATCACTAAAAAATAGGGAAAAAGACACAAAAACAAATTTGAAAGTCTAGAAAAAGTGGATACATTTCCAGATTCCTGTAACCAAACTGAACCATGAAGACAAAGGAAACCTGACCACACCAAATAATATAAGTGAGATGGAATCAGAACCAAAATAATCTCTCAATAAAGAAAAACCAGGATCTAGATGGCTTTACTGATTAATTCTATCAGACTTTTAGAGATGAACCACCACTAGTTCTTTCCACATTACTTCAAAAATGTGAAAAGGAGAGAATTCTTACAAAGTAATTTGGTGAAGCCAGCATTACCTTAATATAAAAACCAAATAAGGATGCAGCTTAACAACTTTAGATTGGTATTCCTAATGAATACAGATGCAAAAATTCTCAACAAAGTACAAGCAAGTTGAATCCAACAGCACACCAAAAGCTCTCTGCAGTATAGTTATGTGCAATTTGTTCCAGGGATGCAAGGATGCCTCCTGTTATGTACATTATTAAAGGCAATATACCACCAACACAATGCAGGACAAAAAACATATGACTCTCTCAACATGTAGGAAAAGTACTCCATAAAGTTAAAAATACCTTCATGATAAAACTTCCCCACTATTTAGGTATGGAAAAAATGTACCTGAACATTTCTGCCATACAGAAGTCCACTGATAACATCACACTAAATGAAATGACAAGAATGTCTCTACCATCACTACTCTTACTCAACTGAGTGCTGGGTATCTTAGCTACATCAGTTAGGGAAAAGAAAAGGCATACAAAATGAAAATGAGGAAATAAAACTATAATTTTCAGATGACATGGTTCAACATATAGAAAAACATAGATTACACACACACACACACAACCTGGCAAATGTAGTAATGTTGCATACAAATCCAAGTCCACAAAGCTGGATATTAAACCAATTTGGTAAAGTTTGATATAAACCAAGTATAAAAATCACCATCATTTTTTAGACACAATATTCTCAGGAAGATATCAAGAAACTAATCTCACTTGCAATGGTTACAGTAAAAGTAAAGAAAGGAACTTGGTATAAATGAATGATCTCTACAATGAAATTACCAAGCACAGAGGAAAGGATTCAAAGACATACAGACACACACAAACAGAACACTCATGTTCATGGTCTGAAGTATGATACTGTGAACATGTTCCTATTACCCAACGTGATTTAACTTGAATTCAATCTCCATCAAAACTCCTCTTTTACTACCTATAAATAAAAAGGCCATCCACAGGGTAAAACATTTTCAGATCTAGGATCTGATTTGACAAAACTCCATTACCTCTGCTCCCCCATCCTTTTCCTACTCATGTTTGCTCCTCCCTCAGAAAGATAAACCTTTTCCTGCCTTATTATTGAGGTGCTTGCAGATCTAGAGTTGGAATTTCCTCTCAATGCAATACTCCTCTCAAAATCATTCTGATTCCATCAGGATTTCATTTGTAAGACAAGGTCAAGAAGCAGTCACAAGATGATAGCCATTATAACCTAAGAAGGAACTTCTCATCCCTGCTTCCACCAGTTGGCTGGCTACCACTATGTTTCCACAGAATGCAAACTGGAGTTGGAGAGGAAAAGCTAAGTGTCACATGGGATTATACGGATGAAGGGTATGTCAAAAAGCCCCTGTTCCATGGTGTCCAGATACCCCCATGAAAGGCCCTGAACTCTACTTCAGGCTGTCCTCTAGGAGGACTTAGTACAGGAGGTGATATTTAGTAGACAGGTCAAAGTCTGGATGATGAAGCATTATGGGTGATAGGCACTATGAGCAGCCCATAGGCACTATGAGTAGGCCATCTTTGACCTCAGGATCCTCCTATCTCAGCCTTGTGAGTTCTGGGATTATAGCCATGAACCAACAGGCTTGGTCTATATGCATTTCTAAATCCTGCATTTAGAAAATACCTGGTGTGCCAAGGGCACATCTTCCTGCAAAGTTTCCAAAGAACAATGTCACCCAAAGATATTCTGGTAAGATGTATCTGGTAAGGACAAAAGGAGTTACAGTTCTTTTTTTTTTTTTTGGGTATCAGAATTGTGGGCAGTTCCTTTCAGTTTTTTTATCATGCTCTCATACAAAAAGAAAATCTTATAGAAGTCACATTTATTTTCTGTGGAAAAATGGTAAATAATTAAGAATGAAATGTATCACTGGAGAAAAATGCTTCATATGCTGTTGTGAATTTCAGAGGGGAACTTGGCATTTGGAAATAGGGTGAGGAGGATGAGGAAATTTAGGAATTTTCTGTCAGCCCTAGAGATCCAGGCTGAGGGAACAAGGTCAAGGATTTGAAACTCTCTTCCCATACTTTAAGAAGCCTAGGGGCAATCAGACATGCCCTAGGATAAAGAGGGGACCGGGAGTCCATCACTGTTCCTCTCACATACAAACCTCAAACACCAATCCAGATTCTCTCCAGGAACCTCTGCCATCACCACACATCCTGCGAGGCTTAGTGCTGCATGTGTCCTGCTACTCAGATTGGATCCCAGCCACCCACGTATCTGCACAGGGTTGGGACAGGACACCAGGATTGCAGCTGCCTCCCAAGCACCACTGCTGGTCCACAGGTGACAGGACAGAGCAGTACTAGTGGTGGACTCTACTAGTGGTAACAGATTATGGAACTGCCACACTGAGATATACTCCAGACACAGTCACTTTAGGAGATTCCAACAGCCTCTGACCCTCCACCTTCTGCACCCCTCCCCCCCAGACTTGACATTTTCACTTTCTGGCAATCCCTGTCATCTTCCTTATGGAAATCAAAGAGCAATGAAGGCCAAGTCACTGGGTGTCTTTACTCCTTCCCTGGACTTTCCTGATTGGACGGCTAGTACAGCATACCTGATCGCCTGGTTTGAGAAGTCCTATCCCTTGACCCTGGGGCCACTGTCATGTCCCCACTTCTCACTGACTAGCACTTGGTTGTGTCTCTTACTGCTTATGTGATAGTCTCCTTTATTGTTTGTAGCAGTCTGAGTGGACATAGCTATATGAAATTAGACAGGTGACTTTTTGGTACCCCTCAGTTCCACTTTGGCAAATGAAGTCATCAAGCCCAGAGCATTGTAGTCTACGCACTTGCAAAACAAGCATTCTATTGCTTGAGCTACATCACCAGCCCATTTTGCCCTAGTAATTAAGGAGATGGAGTCTCATGAACTATTTGTCCTGGCTGGTCTTGAACTGCGATCCTCCCAATCTCAACCTCCCAAGTAGCTAGGATTTGGGCGTGAGCCAACAGTGCCTGGCTAATAGGTTCTAAATGTCTCAGCTGGATCCTGACTTTCCTCTAATGTCCATTGATCTTTCCAAAAATTAACCACACATTAATTCTTTCCAAAGATATCCTTTATTTTTTCAGTACAACTGTTTATATCCTATTTGACAAATGGCATAGCCTTGGTCATCACTGGCAAGAGAGCACTCACACTGGCATGATGTCTTTTGGCATGACGGGTGAAACACAAATAACAATATGAACATGAAAAGTAAATTTTACATGAGGATAAAACACTCTATAGTTGGATGCACATAATGCCTCTTGAAATAAAAGGAAAAAAAACTTAACTAAATTATATCTAATCCATGATTATGTTGGGATATTTCTATATATCTTTAGTAACTGAGAAAGTTAATGTATTTTAATCTACATGTTGTTTGAAAACAAGACTGTAAAAGACATGTAAAAAAGTCTTAAAGAACATATATATCAAAAAGTAAAATAATACACCATCAATGTAATGAATGTGAATTGTTCTATAAAAAAGGAAGCTCAAACACAAAAATAAATGTAAAGATCCCGAGATCCTGAACATGAGGCCAGAAGGAAAACAGCAACAATTAACAAACACTTGTGCTCAATGGCAGATTAATCAGATTTCAAAGCTACATAAAAACTAAGCCAACTGAAAAATACTTAATATATTTGAATTCACTACTGATTCCAACACAGTTTTAAATCAAAGAAGAAACATAATTAGCTGATTTGCTTTAAAAAACACAATACCATTACACTCAAACCCAATCCCTTTAACAAAACAGTTTGCTTTTATAGAGATACTGTTTTATGAAATATAGTATTGCTGGTCTCTAAACTATGCACAGAATGAAACCTGGCTCTGCACTCTAGACAGACACAACCATGAGACTCATAAAGCTTATTTTCAAAAGCAAAAATGAGAAATACAAGTCCAGAGTTATTTCCAAATAATAAAACATGTCAAGCTTTTGATAATTTCCTGTGCTTATTGTATTTCTGGAGCATTCTATACACATCTGCAAACAACTTACTCCTATTACTTATCTAGTATTCGAGTACATGAGGAACTTCCAGTGAGTTTTGAAACAATTAGTTAAAACCTGTAGAATTCTCATATTTTAAGTGGGATTCTTTTTGGTTGTTATTCCTTTTCCTTTTTTGTCTGTAGTGGTGATGAAACTCAGGGACTCATGATTGCAAGACAGGCACTCTACCACTTAAGCCTCTCTGCCAGCACTGGTGGTGGTTCTGTGGGACAGGGCCTACAGAGCTCATGAGGGTCTTGAACTTGGTGGATTCCAATCTCAGAATCCACCTGCCTCTGAAGTGTTCACCAGTACATCCAGTATAATGACAGGTTTTGATTCTCTGTGTATTTTCATTAGTGGGGAAAATGAGCACTTTGGCATGTCTGTTCTAGTCAATGTATCTCTCCATACCATCTTTCATATGTGTGCATTGAACCATGGTCACTACAGACAATACTGTATGTTTTATTTCTTTAAAAAAAACCAAAAAAACCCTTCTAATCAATGTGTACTTGCATCAGTGTTAGAAAATCTTCAAACATGCAAGTTGCTAATACACATAGTTATCCCTCATGGAGTTTTTTCAAGTTGGTAAAATGAAGTCAGGTAACTGATATAAGTAATAACCAAAGACTTTCTCTCATTGCTTCTATACATAAAAATTTTCTCCAGTATATATCATTTCATGTATTCAAAGGACACTGGTATTGATGAATACCTTTTCCCACAATTGTTATGTACATAGGATTTCTCTTCACAGTGATTTCATGACTTAAAAGATGAGTGGAAGAACTGAAGGCTTTCCCACATTACTTATACCCATAGATTTTAATTTAACTTTGAATACATTCATGTATTTGTATGTGAATGGATCAAGTGAAGGCTTTATTACCTTGCTTATCATCAATAGAGTTTCTCCCCATGTGTGCTCCTTTTTGTCTTTTAAAGGAACTGGATTAGGTGAAGGCTCTCCCAGATTTTTTATACCCATATGGTTACTCTCCAGTGTGAATTCTTTTATGTACTTGAAAAGTACTCGAACGTGTGAAAACATTCCCACATTGCTCACATCCTTAGGGTTTCTCTCTAGTGTGAGTTCTTTAAATGACTTCAAAGGTGAGTAGAAAAAGTGAAGGCTTTCCGACATCACTCTCATTGACAGGGTTTCTCTCCAATGTGAGAACATTTATGTGTTTTAAGGTGAATGGAATAAAGGAAGGCTTTCCCACATTTTTTACTCCTATGAAGTTTCTCACGAGTGTGAATTCTTTCATGTCTTTGAAGGTGACAGGAACGAGTGAAGTTTTTCCCACACTGCTTACATGCATAGGGCTTCTCTCCAGTGTGAGTTCTTTTATGCCTTTGAAAGGTACTAGAATGTGTAAAGGTATTCCCACATTGCTTACATTCATAGGGTTTCTCTCCAGTGTGAGTACGTTCATGTGTTTTAAGGTGACTAGAGTGAGTGAAGGCTTTTCCACATTGCTTACATTCATAGGGTTTCTCTCCAGTGTGAGTTCTTTCATGTCTTTGAAGATCAGTGGACCGAGTGAAGGCTTTCCCGCATTGCTTACATCCATAAGGTTTCTCATGAGTGTGAGTTCTTTCATGTCTTCTAAGGTGACTGGATTGAGTGTAGGTTTTTCCACATTGCTTACATCCATAGGGTTTTCCTCCACTGTGAATTTTTTCGTATCTTTGTTTCCTCCTGCGAGTGCAAATTACATTTCTGCAGTATTTTTTGTAGCCACCTTTAACATATCTTTCTTTCTGGTTTTTTCCTATAATAATGATAGAGAAATCATTATGTTGTATTCAACATTACATTACAGTAAACATTTTTAGATCCCAGTTATATTCATGGTATAATGTGATGTTTGGTGTATCAACTCAAATGTTCCCTTTTCGTATTTCAAATCATGCAATAGCATGGATGAACAAGAAATAGAAGCTCACAACATAAACCAGGAATTGTGCCATATTTACCTATAGTGGTCAGGTTCCTAAAAGCTTCCAACATCACATCTCTGTAGAGCTTCTTTTGGGAAGGATCCAACAAAGCCCACTCTTCTGGCGTAAAGTTTATGGCCACATCCTCAAAGGTCACTGGCTCCTACAACATCCCATATGTATTTCCAAAAGGAATGGTGAAAGTCACAGCTCTAGAGATATAAATTCACTGCCCAAAAAAGTCACATAATAATGTGTTCTCCAAATATTCACTCTACTTCATGATTACCATACTTTTGTTCTCCATTCATACTCACAGTTTCTGAAATAAGTCCAACATAATTCTTACACTCTTTTGGAAATGTCTGTTAAATTGAGCATACAATGTGAACACCTGTTGTGTAGTTGGTCCCAAGAATTACACATTGTACAGACAGATTCTGCACCTCTTGTTACAAACTCTGACTACTTTGAACCCAAAGACAAACATCAACTTTCCTGAGAGTGAATGTTATTAGAAATGCATGAGAATGAAATTCCACATGTACTGGTATCTGGGAACTGCTATTGGGATGTACCTCAAAAGCCTAACTCTAGAAAAGGACAGTTGATGCCAACATTATCCTATTGTAAATATATTAACTCCCATGATACCTATAGTTATTTGCATGTTTCTAATATGTTCATCAGAGGGAGCCCATCTGATCACAATCCAAAAGTAACCTTAATGATGAATCCATAATTAAGATAATAGCTAACATCTGCTGTCCAAATTTGTATGTTGGGGAACTGAGCACGTTCTCTGACTGCACTGAGAGATATTTGGAAGCTTACATGTAGTTTCTTACAAAAGCAACCTAATAAGGCTCATGAGGGATAATTCAGATAAAAATCTGTTGTAGAATGTCAAAGAATATTCTATAAGTAGTAGTCATGTATATAGTCATGTAGGCAAGACAGCCATGAGTAAGGCAGGAGAATATACTGCCTGAGGTCCAGTTAGAATCTTGATGAGGATTCCCAGCGTATTTACAGTAGCATTACTAAACGTTTATATTTTCTAAGAAACAACTCTTTGTTTTGAGGAGTCATATGCTGTTTGGTTTCTACTAATTTCAACTCTGATCTTTAGTATTTCTTTTTTCCTACTAATTTTGATTTTGCAAGTTCTTGTTTTAAGAGAAACTTGAGGTGCATCATAACATTTGAGATGTTTCATATTTGTAAAGTAGGCATTCCACTCTACAAACTTCTCTTAGATCCAGCTTTGTTACATTCCACAGTGTCTGGGATAATGTGTTTTAATTTGTTTTTGAGAATTTAAAAATTCTCCCTGAATTCCTCAATAACCCAATGGTCATTCAGAAGTGCATTAGTCAATCTCTGTGTTTATAAGTTTTCCATAATATTTTTGGTACTTACTTCTAGTTTTATTCCATTATGAGCATATAATATACAAGAACTCATCTCAATTTTTAAATTTGTTAAGCCTTGCTTTATGGTGAAAGATATAATCTACACTGGACAACATTCAATGGACTAAGACTATGAACATTGTACCTCTTGGACAGAACTGAGAATGGGTTATTAGATTCACATTTAGAATTGTGTGTCTCTTTATATTCAGTAGTGTTTGAGATATGAAATTATGTTTACCATCATTTGGCCTTATATATTTTCAACTATTATATCTTCTGGTGAGACTAGTCCATTTATCAACCTACTTAATGTGACTAATTTTCTTTGAAATGTGTTCTGTCACACACAAGTACAGACACTCCTACTTGGTTTCAAACTCACACAGCTTGGAATACCATTTTCCATCATTTCACTATCAGTATGTGTTATGCCTTTTGTGCTCAGATTAGTTTCTTGAAAAAACAAAACAAAACCAGAACAATTGGTTTTATTTTCCAGTATAGACCATTTACATTAAAGTTTTTATTAAAATGTCTATGCTAATTTCACATTTTAATTTCTTTCTGGTTGTTGAGAATGCTCCATGTTATTTTCTTTCTCCCTTATTGATCTTATTGGTTGAGTAGTTAACTTACTTAATGTTTGATTCTTTCTAATTTTTTTTTTTTTTGGTGGTACTGGGGTTTAAACTCAGAGACTCATGCTTGCTATGCAGGTGCTCTAAAACTTGAGCCACTCTGCCAGCTATTAAAAATTTTTTTTTTGGCCATACTGGGGTATGAACTCAGGGCTTCATGTTTGCTAGGCAGGTGCCTACTACTTGAGCCACTCAACCAGTGTCTACTCTTGTAGTGAAGTTTACTTTTTTTTAGCTGTTGTAATTTTGTGTATCTTTCTCCTGTAAGTATCTTCTTCAATGCAGTAATAAAAAATATATATAAAGATTAAAAATAAAAAAAACTTAAAAATAAAATAATAAAATGGTGTAGAAAAAGAATTGGAGGTATTTCTTCCTGAATCCTCTCATCTTAGAATTTAGGATGTTTGATGATATAGTGGCTTTTTCGGAGGTCTACTGTAGTTCCTCTCTATTCCCAATACACTGAATGCTGTTTTAGGTGGTTTGAGGCCTGGGTGGTCATAGGTATGTTGTCAGCTTCAGGGCTGCATTAACTTCATAGACGTCCCTTGTTTGCATAACAGAAGCCAAAGTTACACCAAACAAGCTTGGCAGCCTGAAGGCAGGTACCTTTGTCCTGCACAGTGATAGCAGAATGTACACCCAGGAATGTGACAAATTCCAAAGCCAATGGGGTATTCCTGAGTGCATCAGAGAGAAAGAGGAGCAAAGCACTGAATTTTGTTCAACAGGAAAGACTCACAGGAAAGAAGCAATTTCCCTGTCTCAGTTTCAGCATTTTCAGACACCCTATCATAGTAAACCACCCGTCTGTGAGGAAAAAGTGATCACTGAAAAAAAAGTGATCTACACGATTTGGGCTCAGAGGCCTCATCTACCACTCCACAGTAAAGCATGCACTGTGGGTAGGAAAATTCAGAACCAAATATTCTTTTGGACTCTGATACTGATCTATCAGATTCCACAATAATCCAAAAGTGATGGGTCTTCTTTCTCACTAGAGAGGACAGAGCAACTGACCACTGAGCCCTCCACTGTGCAACCTCCTTGCTGCTTAAACCTTTCATTGAATCTATGTTAGACCCTTCCATTTTCTCCTGTCTATTGCTCCTGCCTCTCTCCCAGACTCTGAAGCTGGGTAGCACTAGGCAATGTGACTAGTAATTGGTTCCACGTTTTCTGAACCCCAGAGTAGCTCAGTCTCAAACCAAAGAACCCTCTCAAGATGGCTCCTCCTTATGGTACTCCATTGCATAAATCCAATGCAATGGATTTATTCTATAATACTAGCCTGCAGTAAAGGACGGGGTCACTTTCACACCAAAGCTACACATGTAGAATTTAAGGTTTCTCCTACGGTGACTAGTCCTTAGTCATTAGTGCTACCTTTACTCAAGGCTTACTCTGGCAGGTCAGATACTCTTCCTGCCAGGGAACAAGGGTTGAAGCTGCAGACTACTTCCTACTATTTCTTTGTCAACATTTTGTCTTCTATCACTGCTATTTTTACTTCTTTAATCATCTCTGCCTCCCAGGCACACATCACTACATCCAGCCTATTTTTTAACTCTAATTAGACTGTGTCATTTTCCATTTTTACTTTTTGTCTGTTTTTATTTCTACTTATATTAACTTTTCCATATTCATTCTACTTTAAGCATTTTACTTATTGATACTCTTCACTGTTTTATTATTTCCAACCCCTTCTGCCCCTTTCTTTTCCACTCTGGTTAAAGGGAGAACCTTGTGCCTAGTATGCAATGGACAGCTGTTCTGCCTCAGAAACACTCCCAGTCTCAGCTGAGAGTAATTAACCCAAGCTGTAGCAACAGTCCAGTTTCAATCCTAATCTGGCCAACACATTTCCTTTAAGAACAGGGAGACATGACCACCCAGCACTTTCAGTCTATTCACCACAACTGAATCAGACAACATTAGAATCATTTTGAAATAAAAGAGCAGTATTGACAGACAGTGCCTTTGGTGACCTCACCATCTAATAGGTGTTTCAATATTCATTGCAGGAGTAACCACAGACTCATGCCACACTGAATTACCAGAGGAAACACTCTCTTGGGAGATAAAAGGAAAATGGTCTCTCAGGCTCCATATCCTAAGCACAGTCACAGAATCCACAGGGATTTCACTATAAAGCCCAACTGGAATTCAACAAATCAATACCTCAAGACACGCTGTCAAGGAAAAGCACTTGTTAAGAAGCCCATCACATAAGAATGTAGGAGTTATTTCACCCAACAGATATGAATGCATATACCAGCAGTCATATAGAAGATAAGAAAAAAAGCACATGAGACATTCTAAGTCTTAATTCTAAAGTAACAGATTCCTAACACATTGAAGTGGTTGACTCACCAGATTAAGAATTCAAAAGAGGAGATTATTTAAGATGGAGGGTTGCTGATAGACCTCAGAACACTGAACTGTTCATGGTAGCAAGGGTACATGGTCTGGCAAGTGTGACAAATAAAAGGTTGCCAATATATAGGCAGACATATCTGCATGACCAAACTTTAAATAAGCCTTTTAAAGTTCAAAACAGTCTCAGGCATGGGGGTACACCTGGGCACATTCCCTCCTCTCCCTTTTGTCTTTTGGAAGGAAGTAACCTTCAGTCCATGTAAGACCATGTGAAGCACTAATGATTGATGCAGACGACTGGGAAATGATCCCTGCAAGTGCCTGGGAAGCCCTGGACTTTGGGGGAAAGGAGTAAGACTTGCTGATGCAGAACCATCAACTGCCACCCATGCCCCAGCTGCTGACCTCCAGTGCTTACAACACATTTAAGGCAAGGTTGTTTCTTTCAGATCTGAAGGATACCACATACTCCAGATCAGTTTGTGGGCAATGACTGTATTCCTCTTTCCCCCCAGGAGAAAGCTTTTTGCCTAAAAAACTGAGTGAAATTCCTCACCCTGCCTGATGGCGAAGAGGTGACTCAGTTTGTGATTCTGTATACAAAGAAAGGCAGTGCAGATATAGGACACCAAAGCCTGAACTTAACCTGTGTGGAGGAGGAGCCGCTTAGCCCATGCCTTCTCTATACAAAGGAAGAGAGTGCAGGTGCAGGCTAGTCAGGGCTG